GTTTTGTTTAGTTACTAATCTTTTCTATCTTCCCTCATTTCCATTTCCTTTCAGAATGATATTTCAGTTTCGCGTGTTATACAGTGTAGGGTAGAAAGATACTATTTAAACTGGCGTCTGAGTTACTTCAGAGAGAGCATGTTCTGACTTTCTGCTACGTTGTTTCGCTTATTTAAGCTTGCTATTTTACGGCCGGGCCTATTAATTCCCTGTTGTGTACGTCGGTGGTAGGGCTAAGAGTCAACTAGCGTTAATAATATCTATGCTTCTATTACTGATTATTTAACTTAGTTTTAATTACGTTTTTCTATTTTGATTTTCAGCCAAAATTATTGGCTAAGTTTGTAAGCACCAGACGTGCCATCTGTAAATACCTTTTTGAGTTGAATAAAAGAGTCTTTTCACTCTTCTCACATCTTGTCACTGATGAAGTTTGAACTTAGCGAATAATAGCTTCACAGTTAAAGATCTAGTCAACAAATTAAAGTTAAGCTAGAATCTTACAAAACTAGTTACTGGAATTAACTTAAGTTTTGGAGTTTTATTAATAAATATTTAAAGCAATGTTTCTCAACCTTCCTTGTCCCATGCACTCCTTTCACTCTTGTTAGACGACCTTTTCCACCTCGTCCTTTCTAATACTCAAAATATACGTCTTCATTTATTTAAAGTAAATTATGTTTAATGTGTTTCATAAATTATACAAGGAAAAGTATAGAAAATGTTGATAAATACCAAACCTTGAATAAAAGTAATTCTTTACATTCATTAACTAAAACTAAGTATTTAATAGGTAAATAAAAGGCTGACCGCATCTTCTCCATGAAGTTATGAAATTCCCCTGGTTTACAGCGAAATAAAGATGTTGTGTTTTTACTTTGTTACGCCTTGAAACTGATGTTTGTTAGGTTGATAATAATCCCATATAACCCCACTGGTTAAGTAAATAAAACCAATGAGCGTTGGTAGTTCGTTGTAGATTAGGCCCCTGAAAAAACACGTTGGCTACATGGGATTTGTGCATCTTTCAATGTCCCCAGTGAAAACAAGCCAGCTTTTCTTAAAAAGTTCACCACGAAGGTTTCTTTCCAAAGGAAGTAAACTCTAGCATAGTTTTGTGTACACAGTAACGAAATATATATGTTATAGTTTCCTTTGTCACTTGGATTTTAATTGATTTCAGTATGCCTTCTAAATATGTAGTAGTATCCTCGTATCTGCGATTTACAGCGTTATTGTAGCACTAGGAGGAAACGAAACAGCATAGATTTCGAAGTGCATGCTAATTGACAATGGGCTGTAACATAGTAATATATACAAAAGCTTAAATACTCTTAGTGTTCTCCCACATAAATCATACAACTACATATCGAAGTAATTAAAAATAAGGAAACCAAAATGTCACTGTATTATGGAAAATAATACGCATTTTTAACTTATAGAACGCTTCTCAGATTCGCACTTTCTCAGTTCATAACTCAAATACATTAATTCGCGGAATGGATTTCATCGAAGCTTTTCTTATCCGCAGCAATCTTTCCATTAGGGATAACAAACTTATTTCAAACATTTTTATCTCGTCGGTCTTGAAACAACTTAATGTCACGATTCTTTTTCCTTCTCCCACCTTAGATGGTGTTAGTCATATTTCCCTTTCACTGTAGGCAGGACTGTTTCTCAGCATTTTCCGCAACTTCTTTTCCCACCATTTCATACATTTCACATTGCGCTATTTTCTTTATTCTCTAAGCAGGTGCGGAAGAAGTCTATGATTTGCCTCGCAATAACGTGGCAACTTTGTGGATCGTTGATAACTTAATGATATACTAAACTCACTGAATTTATCAATAACGTATTTATATTTGTTCCAAAACATAATCATAATTTTTGAGCTTTAGTTATTTATTTCATGAGTTCTTGAAATGGAAGTAATTGTATATAAAGACTTACATTAAAAATGTTTATGCGGATTACGCAATTGTGTTTCATATAGAAGCAAATATTTTGCAAGTAGAGTTGTTACGTTTTACTACCAACTAGAGTAAACTACGAAAGTAGTTTAATTTCTAGCGAATATAATATGATTTCTTAAAATATCCACAAAAACCTGCATCGCCTGTGTTTGATTGCAACTTGAAACGGTTTTAAAAAACGCTTACGTAACATTGATTTTTATGTTTCACAACATAACATTTTCTTTTTAATCAACTAAATATGAAGTAATGGATGTTGTATTTATACTTTTTTTAGTATACAAGTTTCGCTTTTTTACTACAACTTTGCCAAATTTCATTAAACTATTCTCAAGCTCTGCTTTTACGAGCAGAAAAGACAGCAAATTCTGCTTTTCCTGCTATCATTTTTCAGTCTTAATGCTTTGGTTTATTTTCTCATCGTAAATGTAATGCTGGTAATATGCATTTTAAATAATTCATTAATTTCTATATTTCATTGGAAATTTTTCCGTTAATATTTTTAGTTAAGGAAATGTGTATTTTAATTATTTTAAATAATTATACTGTTTTATTAAATGGATTTTTGAATTCATAAATTTAAGTTTTTTATAAAATATATATTGATAAGCAGTAACATTCTCGCCCTTGAGTACCCAAAGGGTTGTTATTTACACATCACTTTTGTATGCATGCGGGAAAAAATTTCAGATTTTATATCTTAACAATATTTAGGTATGAAACAAAATTATTCGCAATATTTCTTTTTACAAACGGTACTTGAAGAGGGTTAAATATACGTTTCTATTAAATTTTCTGATTTTCTACTGTAACTTAATAGCCTACTTATAATCGATGTTTTAATAAATATTTACAATATACCAGCAAAGCAATTTTTCGAAATAAAGTTTACATTTTTCAAGTAATTTGTTCAAGAACTACTTAATTATGATTGTTAGGTGATTATTAACCCATATCAAAATTTATTTGCAGAGTGATCCTCACTTTTATCAATCTCTGCTACTCAGCGTAAATATTTCAGTCATTGTCTTTTCAATACTGTTAAAGATAGTGATTGAAACAACATGTGTATGTGCGTTTAAAGATAGCTTTCTCCATAGTCTAAAAACACTGTTCGTCAGAACCCAAAAAAAAAAAAAAAAAAAAAAAAATTACCATATGTTTCTCGTAAAGTTTGCATTTCGGTTTGCGTCAAATGTTGTTTAGACTGTTCTCATATATTTAGTTTAGGTAGTAGTTCAAAATACCATTTCGGTAACACAGCTGAATAGACGTTCAGATAAACGCAATATCTGCAGTATTATTCATTAAGTTTTAAATGACCTAACAGAAGTAATATTATGGAATTTTATTTTAAATTACCTCTTCTATATTTTTAAGCGTTTAACTACTATCATATTCATTTCATTTTAATCCCTGTGGCTTGCCTCTTAACCGTATAATCGGGAAAGAGGCCAATACCTATTTATTTCACTACCTGAAAGAGGCGAGTCTTTATAATTTAATTTGATTTTGTTTTATGTCTGCACATTAGTATTTTAATACTCTGTATTTTAATGTATCTTAACTTTTACGATTTAACTCATGTTCACATCTCATATCATAACCTCTATTTTATTTTTTCATCTCAGCTTTTATTATCTTAGCATTTCTGTTGATTTTATAAGCGTCTTGTTGTTTTAAATTTTCATTTATCTAATATGTGTGTTTTTCAGTTGTTTTGTGTGTTGCACAGCCTAAAACTTGTTTTCGACGCATATAACCTCTCAGGTTTTCTCCCAGGGATATACCATCATACTCGATACTTTCATATCATTAATAGACATAGGCAATACTTTCATATCATTAAAGACGCAAACATGCTTCAGTCAATAATAATTTAAAATTTTTCTAACTGAAACTTAATGAACTAATCAAAATAAAGCTGAACTAAAACTGAATCAGTCTTATTCAGATGTTCGAGGTATCATCTGCTCATTTATTCCCGATGCTCTAGGTTGAGAGCATGTTGGCCGTTGCTATTGTTTTTTAACATAAAGAACATTCACCGTAACTACTCAAGTAAAGGTGTGCTCTTCCTCCCATGAGTATTTGTCAAGAAATTAAATATAAATGTATGCCACAGTTGAATCTTCTCCTTTATGAATTGGATTTCATCAAGCACACCTGCCCTGTCAGTAACTAAATCATCGCATGTACATTCAATCTATATGCAGTATAAATCAATGTTAAATTGCTTCTGAGATTTGAAAAAGGTGTTATAAATGTCACAAGAAATTTCCTCACGGTGCGGATCAATTTATATCACTTAAGCGATTCAATCAATTTATATCGGATCAATTTATATCAATACATCACTGAGATTAAATCATCAGGCTGTCCTGATCACTCTTTATCATTTATATTAAATTAGAATATTAATTTATTATTGTTTGTTAATTATTTCTTTATTTAAAGGAATTTGTATTATAATGCTTTACCCCGATCGCATTAGAACTGTCTTTTAAGCAGAGGTGTTTGTTTTTAACATCCTTAAACGTCATCTTGGGTGATAATCTCATAAGATCACTAGAAATTACGCGACTGCTTTAAAATATGATGAAGGAAATGAGAATTTAATTTATTTAAGTTTAGTACTATGTTGTCTTCTAATTATAGTAAAATTAATCAAGGTTAATGGTAGGCATGAAAACCTAAATGTAGTTGAATATTAAGAGATCAATTGAAAATAAGCCGATGATACGGAAGGGGAAAATACCACACGTGTATCCCCGATTAGAACATAACAAAAAACGAAATTTGATTAAAACGGTTTCCTAGTACATTATTTGAAACTGTTTCATTCACGATCTCAAATTCTTTCCTTTTCCCAATTTAAGATGCACTTTTAGGTAGCAATCTGAAAAATATCATAAGTAGTTTTTCTTGCATTCTATGTATTTTCCATCACGCTTAAATTAATATTATTTATATAGCAGATTAAGCTTGCAATCTCAAATTGTGTCTGATTGTATCTTCTTCTTTCAGGAAGTTACCAGTACAATTGATACTGAAGTAGATCATATAAGTTGAGAAGAAATGGCTACTCAAACAGACTTACAGCTAAACTTACATCAAAGATTACTTAGATATTCTATTTTTGTTCAGCTCTTTTCTTCAAGTAGCAATGGGTCATGATCACAGCGGTGGGTGTCGTTTCCCTATCGAAATCCTTAAGTTCTAAGGTAAAGTTTAGATAAAATATACGTTAAAATGTTAGAAAGTTACATTCAATTAAATTTAAATTTGAGTAACATACTGTTTTATGCATTTTCCTTTATCAGCGAGAAATTTTGCGATGCAATCAAATTATTAAATTCTGTTATATCTAATGCAAAAGTTTCAATTTATATCAGACGTAACGTGATGTGTAATATAAAGTATTTAAATATCAGTTATAAACAATTGTTTTGAAAGCGTTTAATTAGAAAACATAATTTATATTATTATATATAATTTTAAATGCCTAAAACATAGCTTGTCGCATATATTTTTAAATATTTTATTTCTTGCTGCTTGTACTGCTAGTAAAGTGGAAGGAAAATGTGGAACTACTTTATAAAGAGGGAAAAAATTACATCTAAGTATATCCTCACTGTTTTTTATTATATAATTCATATAAATATTGATAATTTCATTTTTAAGATTTTAAAATTGCTTTTCGCATTTTTTAAAACTTTAAAACCAAATTTCGAATAATTGTGACATCCGCTTGTTAGAGCTAAAGCGCTACAGTCCGGAATGTTCCAATTAATCAGAAAATTCTCTATGTGAACTAAAATACTAATGGAACTAATGGAAATATTACATTTAAATATACAATAAAGATACTCTAAGCCTCTTAATGGGATCCTTGCTTAAATTTCAACTTAGGTATTAAAATTTTTCATCTTCATAAAGTTTAAGATACAGCGCAATAATCATAAAAGAATTAAAGAAATAAGTTCTTTAAGGAACAATAAAAGTTATTTACGTTCAAACATTATTTCCTACTCTTCCTTTGGTTTGGTTCTCTGGGGATTCTGCTAGACAAACAAGATGCTTTAGCGTTAAAAAATAATAGGATTTATAGGATTTATAGGAATGCTTCAAACTGTCCAAATTCCGCCTCAGGGGTTGAATATGAATATGACAAACCTAACACTTAAATTGGCTGGATTGAGTGTTACAATCCTAGTACTTACCTTTGCCACTACACTGGCTAGCCCTTAAAAGTTTCAGACGAGTTATTGCCTTCAGAAAACGTACCTCAAATTTACTAAATTAGCACACGTATATATAAAAATGACCAAATCATTTATTGGTATTTTACAGCCCTATCGATTAAAAACTTGAAGGAAATTACAAATGAAACTTCTATAAGTCGAAAAAGGACCATTGTTTGTGTACAAATTTAGTAACAGCTTACAATTTAACAAGGGTCCAAATTCTTATTTTTAAGAGATAATTCATTAGAAAACTCCGTAAATACTAAATGGCAAAGGAACAGAAGATTATGTTTAATCTTACCGAACACGTGGGCAAGGTCTGGATATTTCTGTTACCCACAAGTTTATTCCACGCAGCAACAACTGGCTAGGCCTTGAATGACTGCAGAGACACCAGATGTACCAGCAAACAAAACTTATCTGGTATACCTTTTAACCACGCCATTTTTTAATTGCCTGAGTTTGTGAAATTCTGGAAAGCGTGGTGTTTCAGAAGAATCAGAACAAGATAGCATTACTTAAAAATAGCAAACATGATGTACATTTAAAGTCAGTAAATTAAGAGAATTCAGAATACAACTTTCAGATTATAAGATTTTAATATGAGTTCAGTTATTCAATAATGAAAATATAGAAGTCAGTAGATTAAGTGAAATTTGAATAAAACTTTCAGATTATAAGATTTTAATTAGTTCAGTTAATCAATAATTTATGATTTATGTTCACAATAGAGCGTTGAAATGAAAAGAAATTCGCGAATAAAGAGTAATATAAGATGAAACTTTGAAAATTATAGAAAATAATTACATCGTCATCACATTACATGTTCACTTTTATGTCTCTCAAAATACTCTCTTCTTTCGCAGGTGTTACTGCTTATGCTCATAACGTCAACTTAAAATCTGATGCGTCCAATTATCCTGTTGGACAAAATGTATCAAAAGATGACCAAATGCAGTAACACTAGAACCTTGAAAGGATCCCATAACCTCCCTCACCATCGCCATCGAATTCCCATTCCGTTAGAACCCTTGAAAGACGGCCCATCAATGGATCCGAAGGAAAGAATTTTCTTAGAAGCCGCTGAACGAGGTGACAAAGCTACCATGATCCGTTGTCTGCAACCACCTAATCCAGTCAATGTAAACTGCACGAATATATTGGGTCGGAGCGCTATTCAAATTGCAGCGGACAATGAGAATGTGGAGATAGTTGAACTTTTGTTACAACAAGAAAATGTAAAAATCGGAGATGCTCTTCTTTATGCTATAAGCGAAGGTGTGTATAAGATAGTTGAAATGCTTATTAACCATCCAAGTATTACAAGTGAGATGCTAGCTAATGGTTGGGCCAAATCTCGCCTTCCTGGAGAGGAAAGTTCGGATTATTCTCCAGATATATCACCGGTGATACTTGCAGCCCACTGCAATCAGTTTGAGATACTCCAGTTATTGCTGACTCATGGAGCTATCATAGACAAACCTCATCCATTATCCTGCACATGTCCACGATGTCGTGAAGGAATACACACAGATAGTTTAAGATATTCATTACGCAGAATTCATACTTACAGGGCCCTGGCCAGTCCAGCTTGGATATCATTGACAAGCGAGGATCCTATTCTCACCGCATTCCAGGTTAGTTACTTCTCTCTTCGCATTTAACTTCTAAAATACTTTATTATTTCATCACTAAGCAGCTTATTTTGTTGTTAATTTCTGCAATAAAACTCGTAAATGTTTTATTTTCCGTTTTATAAAGAATCACTGCCGTCCTTGTTTGCTTTATAAATACACTGCAGGCCATTAAATTTGCTATATCATGACAGCGGCATGCAGCAAACGTCAGATTTACAAAGATACTACATACTAGTATAAGCAGTAGATTACGATTCCAACGCATGCACACACAGTACGTATGAGTTACGCCATATACAGTGCTTATAAATAGGAGGACTGCACAGCGGATTTCTCATTTAGAAATTTCATTTGAATGTTGATTATTTGCGTAAATATCGTGCTATGCCTCATGTAAGAAGGATAAATTCCTACCAGCACCGTGTCGGTATTCGACCGTAGCAGTATCATTACCTATCGAGACTGTGATTTAACGTTCCGGGACGCTGCTGTTCATGCTAATGGAAATCCCATGACCATCAGACGAATATGGAATTGACCCCATACTGAAAGCTATGCAGAATCTTAGCGGCCCTGGGCCAATAATACCCGGGAAAACAGAAATATTGTTTTTTTTTTCGATCTTGCGCAATCGTGCTACATCATGTACCTTGAGACAGGACCTTTACTTGTACGCAGGACGACAAGTGTGGACACTGCGATAAGGTCTGTATCATCACGGACTATCAGCATCATCATTGCATTACCATTGCTGCAGCTTCCCTTGACGTAGGAGCAGAAAGAAAGGCGCGTCCACAGTGGTGACACAAACGACGACACTGGACACAAAAGTGACACCATATCGTCTTTTCAGACGAATCTCGGTGTTGCGTACAGTCATGATGAACATATCCGGTTGTGGAGACAACGAGATCCGGGTCCAACTACTGACGTGCTAGTATGAGATGCCAATGAGTACATTTCTAGTCACTTCTTGTTTGCATAACCGGTAATGTGGACATTCGCCTTTATATTTCTGATGTGAAAGGCCTATGGCTGTGCCTTCTCCTCGAGATCTGCGTGACGCCATTTTTCAACAAGATAATGCACTACTGCATGTTGACCGTGGTGTCCTGACTTTCGTCGATACAGAGGAAGATCATTGTCCTGCTCCCCAGATTTCTTATCCATTGAGACCATCTGGTTTGGAGTTGCAGAGAGAATGGCACGCCACCACTCACCAACCACTACGGTTGATGAACACTGGCATAGAGTTGAAGACGCATAGAATGAAATACTTATATCTGTCATCCAAGCTCAGTTCGACACAATGCCCAACTGTATTTCAGCCGTTGTTCTGCCAGAGGTGGCCGCTTTGCGTACTGAATTCTACACGTTGTGTGCTCTAAATCACGTGCAAGTTAAATAGCGTTTTCCTCCCATTGGTCCTCTGGATGCACAATAAATAAGATTCTGCTATTTGCTTTTTTTCATTGTGTAACAGTTTTAATGTCCAGCAGTGTTTGTTAATGCAGAACCTTTCGATCCAATTTTGTATTAAATAATCTAAATTGTTTCCATTAAATACTCAAGCTATTTTTATAAAGTATGCACTTTATTATTTTATTAATAGAAACCAAAGGAACAGATAACATATTTCTTGATGGATGTAATGTTTTTGAGATTTTCAATGCAGGCTGAATTATTACTGTTAAAATCTGAGAAAATTAAAACAATGGAAGCATAAGTTTACTACAACTGGCATGTAATAAGACATCTTTTAACAAACAACTATTTGAAGTGCGGAAATAATATAATTTCTTTCTGATATTTAATAAATATTAACGTTCTCACTTACTAGTGTGAGAAATTCAACAAACTCAAGGGAATGAAAATTTATGTGTTCACTTGATCAAGAAACATTTTCCAACCATAGCCATTTTTCTGTAGACTAAGATGAATAAAGTAATCGAGTAAATTCTGAAAAACATTACCGATCATATTCATTAAAGCAAAAACATTAAACTATACTGGCTATTTGTAAAATAATTTCCTGTTTTAAGCTCAAACTAATGAGCAGAATGAAACCAAATTTCATGTACAGATTTGTCGTAAAAGCAATGAAGGCATTCGGAGATAAAATATAAATAATGCAGCATGTGTAAATAAGGCATGGGGAGAAAACTTCCGAAATGAAATGTAACAAAAGTGGCCGATAGGAGAGATTTGGGTGCTGTCGGAACCGAAAACGGGTCAATAATTACAGTGAATAAACGAAATTAGATGACGCACAAGTTCATTAATATTTCAGTTAAAAAGTTCATAAGAACTTTATAACTGAAACAGACAGTTTATCATTCACTTCTGATGTGACTGAACATCAGAAGTGAGTGATAAACAGTACGAAACTCGCTGAAAATAATCCTTTATTAATCAACATTACAGTCCCCTGGACCACGTGCATCATTTTGGATGTGCTGACCTTAATCGTATACAAGATAATGCATCCAATGTACGACGGACTTTGCTGCTGCGTGAAAACTGTCAGTTTGGTTATTTGTAACATATGTTCTCTCAAGAAACTCAGATTTGTAACGTCATTAGTATACCAGGTTTAATTTTCAAAATGCAGCGGTACTTATTGAATTACTGGGAGCCGTTCAAATGTCAAAATTCAGCATTGCTGAGTATTCATCAAACCATTCAGATAAAAATGAACCTCATCTCTACGAATAATTTCTAGGTGCAGGAATTTTCTATTTCATTCGGGCAAGAAACGTTAGTCGCTTATCACAAACTGTCATTCTTAATTCTTGCACACGACTGATCTTATACGAATTGAAATGCAGCATTTTCCGTAAAATGTTTATCACTGTATTATAAGACATATCGGTTTGGCGAGCTATTGCCTGAGCCCTTGTATCACTACTAGTTCCCGTGTCATATAACACTGCAGCGGCAACTCCTGTTACTGCATGATCTAGCGATCCAGGTTTTCCAATTTTTTAGTCATACCTCTCAGTGCTATAACATACATTGTACTTTATGAAGCCTTCTAAATTGCTAAGAGCAGTCGCAGCATTGGACTATCTAGTGTAAAACAGCTTTACAAGTAAAGCATGCTCAGGTAAGATAGAACTAAACACAAATCAATAGTCAGTCAAAGAACTGCTGCCTCAATGGCTTTAATGCAAGCTGCTTGTACTTTCATTACTGAATGACGTCGGCTGTCAAAATCTATTTCGAATTAACGTTTAAGGTATTTCTCCTGCTTTCCTAGCGTGCCTTCGTGGTGGGAGGGATAGCATACTCGGCGCGTATTCGAGAGGTCCAGGTTCGATTCCCGGCGAAGGCGTTTGCTAATTTTTCATCCTCCTTGCTTCCAAAAATACCTAATGTCTCTACAGTGGAGCCCGAACTAAAAGGGTGTTGGATGAGGATTCTCCACACTCAGGATTTTGCGATTGGGTCCCCTAAAAACCCCAGTCGCACTTTGAAAAGGGAAGTTATAAGGTATTTCTCCCGCTTTCCAAGCGTGCCTTCGGGGTGTAAGGGATAGCATACTCGGCGCGTATTCAAGAGGTCCAGGTTCGATTCCCGGCGAAGTTATTTGCTAATTTTTAATCCTCCCTGCTTCCAAAAATACCTAATGTCTCTGCAAACGTATCAAAGACAATTCACAGTAAAAATCTAGTAAATAGACTAATTAGTAAAACTTCCACAGTCGAGTTCTATTATTAATTCAACATTTTCCATAACTATCTTTAATTTCTTCTAAGAAGAAATTTCCTTTTTACATCTCATAGAAAGATCTTTAAGTTTCCTGAGAAGATTTAGCAGTTTTCTGTCACCTACTATGGAGACAAGTTGTTAATTATGTTTTAGAATAATTTCTTTTCCTTCTGGGCAGAATGAGGGAATTTGGGTATGGAATTTCTTCCTTCTGTGCTATTTTTCTCCTTCTAGGTTCCCTTTGAGAACTTGGGGGAACATTTCTGAGTGGCAAGGACATCAAAGGCAGTTGGTTTTTCTCTTCCTTTTGTAACTTTAAGTTAAATGAGGCTTCGCGCACTTGGTTAAAACAATCAAACTGGTTTTGCCCTGGGTTGGCACCTGCACTGCTGGCTCAACTTTCGTTCTTCTCTTATTTAAAAGAAATGAATTTCGTTGTTGTCACGTACGCACTAGTAAATTTGAATAATATACCTAGATTGTACAAATTTTCTAGTGAGTACATAACCGGCAGGGCCAAAATCTCTCCTATCGGTTGTTTCTGGTACCTTTTTTTTTTTTTTTCAAAATTCATCACTCGATGCCTTCCACAAACCGTATATGAAATTTGATTTCATTCCGTTCATTGGTTTCAGTTGCAAATGCCTTCAAACAGAGACAATTATTTTATAATCACTCTTTACTTTAAAAATGCTTCAAAATTTAGAGCAGTACATTTTGCATTGCTTGCGTAATGTCATATGCTAGTTATTAAATAAAGGGCATTTTTTAAAATTGTAACAAGTTTAAAGATTGCAAATCAGTAATTTATAATTTTCCTCTATATAAGGCTGCTATTCAAAACAATATAAGAGTACTAATGATTTAAATTAGTTGCCTTTGATGAATATTAAAAAGTATAAATATCGTTCATTTTATTTTACATAGAGACACAAATGCCTTTTCATATCAGTTAAAAAAAAAAATCTAAACATCTCTGTCAATAGTCTTTGTGTTCATAAATGAATGTCGTGCTTCCGCTAGCTGCCGTTAGACATTCTGATTGCCACCCAGCGGCTAAATCTATCATTACGTGGTAATTCGAATGCCAACTTGAAGAGATACTTTATATGTTATGCAACTTTTTGTTGCATTTGTTATGGTTATTTTACTATAAATTTTCAAAACATAAGAGGGAATTATGAATCATCTCGCATACATAAAAATAGACAGACTCGATTGCTTATCTTTGATTTTAAATAAAAATTATTCAGCAAATATCGGTAAAAAAATCTGATGAGGTTTCTGTTCATATAAAATATATATCCTGTATATTTTATTATATATATCCTTTATTTTAAAAGTAGTTAAAATTTTAACAAAACATTTTTATTTGAAATCAATAATAAACTGGATTTGAATTTTACATCGTTTTAATATTTCAGTTTATATACTATATAGCAAAAATTACGTTTATTGTACTTCGTACGTTTCAAATTATTATATTATATCTTGGTTTTTTTTCTTTCTATTTACGCATATAGAATTCACTAAAATTATTATGTTTAATGTATTATGTGCGATTATATATTTTTTTTTATTGCGGGAACTTCTTATTTTCAAGTGTGATATTATTTCAAGTGTGATATTCCGGAACTAACAGAAATTGTGTATTTCTAGCTTTTAAAAATTGCATCTGTGTTTTAACAATATTGTATTTGTTTTTAATTTTGTTAGCTATCGTGGGAACTCGAGCACCTCGCTCACAGGGAAAATGAGTTTAAGGAAATCTACTTGGTGCTGAGCAATCAGTGTAAGAAATATTCATGTGATCTCCTGGATCTATGCCGTAGCACAGAAGAAGTAATTGCAGTTCTGAACCGGAAATCAGAATCAGAATATGATGAGGAAGAGCACAATTTAGAAGACGACAAACTTACGTTATCCAGGTTGAAAATGGCTCTAAAATACGAGCAAAAACAGGTTGGTTTGAATTATCTTCTTCAAATAAATGTATACTGCTGTCAATTCACACTTGCTTTAAGATAAAGTCATTTCAGATCATTAATGAAATATTTGTATTAAGTTAGGCGTCTTGAAAAGCACCTACCCGCTGAAGTTTTCATTTTTCGATAAATTAAGAATTAAAATTTGTGCATAAAGTTTGCATAAAACACTATTTGTGTTGAAGATTTGTTTGTTTGGATTTTGTTTTGGATTTGTTTGAAGATCTGAGGGAAACGCGTTTCAAATTATGCAGTGGCAAAAAATAGATTCTTGTTAACTTAAGAGAAATGAAGTTGCAATATTTCTAATGTAATAAATCATTGAATAGTACTATAAATTAAAATATTTGACTTTATTATTGTATATAAACCCTACATGGAGAAAACTGTATTCTTGTATACGCCATGCTCTTTACGAATATTCATATTGACAACTAATGGGATAACAGAAAACATGTTCAATAGTTACGCTGATCAAAATCAGATGGCAGCACTATATGCGTTAACATTTAAAGCATTCGCTGTAAAATTTAGCTCCCTATTCTATTATAATCCAATAAAATTGAAATAATTGTAATGTGGATACCTTGGAATCAAATTAGAAGAGCGCTTCCGAGAAGTATCCTATGCATCTTATGTTTTTTAAACATTACAATTTTATTCCTTCCGTAGCAGAAACTCAAATTTACGTACTCACTTCCAGTTAAAATGTAATTTATCAAAATAATGTATAACTCATTATTCTGCAATTAATATTAAAGGTTTTATTAATCCGTCTCCAAAGAAATCTTTAGAAATACTTAGGTTATGTGTTTGAATTGTATATATCACATAGAAATCAATGAAATGAATATCTTAACCGTTTTGGTATCAATGAATCTTGAGAATATTGCTCAATTCTAGCTTACTATTAAGTGTTCAATTCAAGTTTGCTATTAAAAGGAGGATCACTTCCTAGTTCATATTCGTTCTAAACCAAGTTATATTATTTTCGTTTCTGTAACAATTGATCTTTTCCTCCTCCCAGTTCCGTGCAATTTTTGCTTCCCTCCTATTTAATTAGGAAATTAACTAACGCACTTTATGAAACAGTCATTAATAACTAAACTACTTTAGTATCAAATATACTTATTTATAATTTTTATGCTGATGTGTTTGAATTTGATTTGTATTTATTTAGAGAGAGATTATTTGACATTTTAGCAGACAATATATAACACTATACTAAGTGGCTGAAATATATTTGTTTAATAGATGAATATATCAGGGATTATTTCTCTTTTGCTCAAGAAGCGAATGACACACCAGAATAATCAAGTTCAATGCGTTTCAGTTATTTGGCAGACAGAAATTAAAAGGTTCGCCGCAATGACTATTTTAGACCATTCTTTACTTCTAGCTTCAGAGTTTAATTCCTTAAGTTAGAAGTCCTGAAGGCTTAGATAAGGCCGTTAGGAAACATGTGTAAATTTAAGTAAATAAAATAGCAAACAATGAGTAGTTAAAATGAAATAAAATGTAACGAGGTAATTAATCAGTTAAGATCTTAAATTAAAATAATGGCAAATAGTAAAACAATGAATTACAAATCTGATATGAACGTGACTTCTTGCCAGTTCTAAGTTTTAAATAAAAACAAGCTTTAACTAAAGGATTAAGTAGCACTTTATTTAAAGCTCGTTGTTATTTAAAGTATGGAAGCGATTAATGATTTGTAAATAAAATCTAAAATGTTTACAAACCTTAAGGCTCAATGTTAATTATAAAAATTGCTGATTTCTATCATTCTATTTTCCTATATAATGCAAAATGAATAACATCCTCATGTACACATCCATCCTCTTGCTTTCATTTGAAAATGCAGTATATCCCTTTGTCATAGAGTGTTTCGGTTTTACGAATCAATGACTTAGCAGTCACAAAAATTTTTAAAAGAAGCTTGTCATCAAATTTTCAGAAACAATGTTAAGTATTAACATACATTTTTTTCTCCAATCTTTTCTCAGTTCATGATATCAAAGTTCACTTTTCTTAATAAGATGACAAATTTTTTATTTGTCCTTTTAGCTTTATTTTTATTAGACAACAGTCTTTAGCACTTACGCCACATAAAATTTATTCAAATAACTCATAAAATCTTTAAAAGTAATATATCTTTAGAATTCCCGATATGGTGTTAAGTGTTGCCGTACATTTCTTATATTCGCTATATTATTTAGATTTGCTATATTATTTCTTTTAAAAATAATACATACCGATAATATTTGGTTGCAGTATCCTTTCATTTGAAAAGTGATCCGATACACGAGTGAAATGAATACAAAACTGAGTACTGAAGAAGTATATTTAATTGCTTCATGACGATTGCTCATCTTCATAAAGAGGTGGTTCTCGTTGAATTTCGAGTAATTCCAAGAATATATCTAATGCTTGTAAATGTAATATGTTGTTTTCAATCACATAGATTGTTACCAAATCTGAGAAGTTTTGGGTTATCTCATAATATTTTTTCCCTTCTAGTTTGTCATTATAAGCCCATATCTAATATGTTGTTCCCATCGATATAAAAATGTTAAATGCTAAAATTGGAAAGTTTTTTATTACAATTCAATACAGTTTTTCATTGATAATATGTTATGAACTTCAAGTAAAACATCAGATATGTTGTCAATTTAAAACTGCTCGGGGCTTCGTGTAAAGCACCTCTTCCGGTTCTCCAGTTTTACCCAAAATCTAATCAACTTTTTACATGAATTTAGAAAGATTTAATACTGAAAATTAAAACTTTTGGTAGTTTCATATAAGTGCAAGCGTGGACTAAAAAATCGTTAAAGACATACATCATTGTAAAAATAGTAAAAACCTGTTGCGGGTACCCTAATTAGTGCTAACATTCGTGCAATACACTATCGAGTTTTTGGACCGAAAATATTACCTTCACTTATATATATATAGGTTAGCCAGATGTAAAAGTACCGGAGCTCATCTTGTTTGAAGCTCTTACTAGTGTGTGAAAATAATTTTATAAAAACCTATCAAAATATGGTGATAAGATTAGTGTTTAATAGTTGATTCGCCTTCGCAGGCGTCAATTTCAGCTACCTCAACCAATACTGATTCACTATGGATGCTCTTAGAGGCAGGTGACTAGCAAGGCCAAACCACTGCAGAAGTTTTCATTTGATTTATATCATTATGGTAAAGCACTTGAGGGCTAAGTGTCTAAGGGGGAAGGATGCCTTCGTAGACGACTTTCCGAGAGAAACTGGCTCTTATTCGCGTTACACACCCGGAAAACCCCGAAAACAGCTATGCAGCAGCCCGTTCGTGGGATTCGAATCTCGCAACGAATTACTAGGTTTCAGCGACTTCCTTCTTCAGTGACCGCTTGGCCGCCGAAGAAGGAAAGAAGTTTATTAGCTTCATATTAAATGTCTCTGTCAGGGTGTCATGGCATATTCTTTCACAAGCATCGAACTTTGTTTTCAGAAAATTAGAAGTCTGAATACTTTTAATCGTACAATGCATTTTTGCATTTTTTAAAAATTTTTTATAATATATGCACAGAAGATTTAGAATTTTGTAAGACATTAACGCGTAAGAATAATCTCAGCTGGATTTGTTGCAAATGTAAAGAATATCCTTATATCCAGAGTGTTAAATTATTATTAAAATAATTTAAATTTTCTGTTTTCAAATGTGCGCATTATTATTTTTTTTAATAGGACAGATTTTCTCTTTTATCCCGATGCTAATATACTCTTTTTATTTATTCTTTCAGTTTGTAGCACATCCTAATTGCCAACAGTTATTAACCTCCATCTGGTACGAAGGCTTTCCGGTGTGGAGAAGACGCAATGGTTTTATGAAGATTCTTCTTTGCTGCGGCCTGATTGCTTGCATACCTGCTATTTCTCTATACTATCTTTTTTGCCCCAGGTCGAAGATGGGAAAACTCGTCCGTTCACCTTTCATGAAATTTATATATCACAGGTACTTAAATTACTTGAAGGACTGATTGTTTATTTTGAGTATTTTGATTATTTGTATCAGTGTTATTCAAATGAGGAGGAGGAACATTTAAAGATTTGAAGCAGTAATCATTGTTAATAGTAATAAGGCACAATGACAGTTATTGATGCTAATAAATAGTTCATAAATTAATTTTACTCATTTAATCTCTAGATTTTCTAAATTACGTGCTTAAAAACTTTAAAATGCCTTTTTATTTTAGCTTCCATAAAAATATTGATTATTGCACTCTAATTTTCTACAGGGTTCTATAATATTCATCCTTAAATTTAAATTGGAAATCGTTGAAATGCATAGTTAATTTAAATTGGAAATTGTTGAAATGTATAGTTAATTTAAATTGGAAATCGTTGAAATGTATAGTTAATTTAAATTGAAAATAGTTGAAATGTATAGTTAATTTAAATTGGAAATCGTTGAAATGTATAATTAATTTAAATGATAGTTAAAGTCATCTCTTATTGCATTAAACGAAAACAACGAGTGAAAATGTTACGCATTTATATGACAAAAGATTATTTCTTTAACTAGCTGTCTCTCTCTAAACGCCTGAAAGCGTTTCATGGATGTTTCTAACTTTTTTCCGGGAAGAGGATTAAGTAACGCAAAGTTATTTTTTTCTAAGTTGTACGGGTAAAATCTGAAGGAGCGGTTGAAGATGTTCGCAAAATCAGCTTCGAGAACACTTGTCCATTGTTCTGCGCTTCCTTTCTCTCAAGAAATGCAGGTGTGTTCTAACTGTATAAAAACTATAAGTATGTTCTTTTTACTTGTAAAAAAATTCTGCATGATGTAGGGAAACTCGAAAGCTTACAGAATATTTTAGATAATACTTCTTTTCAAATATACCTCTAACACTGAAACCAAACGAACTCTAGGATGTGGTCTGCTGCTTTATTTTGTAAAGTGAAAACAAATAAAACAGATCATACCTTACAGCACTTTTTATTTATTCATCAAAAAATTTCATTTGCACTGTAATATTCTGCAGAGTCGGTAAGATTTTTTTTGAAGCAGGAGACATGGAAAGTGAGAAATGCCCTTATCGGGACTCGAACCAGGACCTCTCGAATACGCTCCGAGTGTAATACCCGTTACACCTGGAAGGCATGCAGAAAGAATGCAGAAAATACCTTATAATTATTTTTTCAGTTGGCTCTTGTTAAACGTTTTGCCTCCTTTTCTATGATTTTATTTGCAAAACTCTAACCTCTTATGCTTAGTTCATATGCCAAAAGTTACTAAAAATAGGCAAAAGGTCACATGATTAATAGGACAAGTATAATTTTGATGCAACACATTTATTAGAACACGTAATTTTCACGAAAAAAAAAGATAAAATATACAATGTACCTTATAACTATTATATAGCTGTTCAACAAAAGTGATACGTTGTTGCTGCTATTCTTAGTAATTGGGTGGTCACAGTTTAGAACAGGCATTGCTCAGAACTTAGATTTTTAAAGCTAATAATTTAAGTGAAAAACTTTAAATTGATTCAAAAGAGTTTTCATCTTTATATTATATACACTATTAACTTTTGTTAAGACTTTTGTTAATCCACACTTCTTTAATTCTTGCATTCTTCTATAAGGTATTCCTACCGCCCTCTTGGCATGCCTTCGTGATGTGGTGGTTTGCACGCTGGATGCATATTCCAGAGGTCCGCGGTTCGATTCCCGGCGAAGGCGTTGCTAATTTTTCAATTCTTCTGCTTCCAAAAATATACCTAATGTCTCTACACTTCAATTATTCCTACATTTTTATAGAACAATGATTAATAAATAATTTACGCAAATTTAATATGTATAATAATAATACAAAATATATATGATTTATATTGCTCAACATTAATATAAAAAGTCTAAAATTTATATTGTGTATCTCTGTCCTGTGATTTACTTTAATAAAAATGAAAAAGGATGGCTCCTAATGCTGCTAATCATGAGCCAGAATTTCATCAAAATGCTTTATCAGGCGAAGAGGGAAAGTGAATATCTTTCGATATATTTTGCTTTGTTTAAAAAAATAAATCACTTCAAAATGCAAATTATGATCTAGTGAAATACGTGCAATTAGAAATTTCCAAATTCAAATTTCTGTAGAAAAGAATCAGCTGTTTTGCGATTGGATAATCATATATTTCAATCAAACGTTTAAAAGTTTTGTGAACTCATTATATATAACAGTATCATTACTTTCTTAACATAGATTTTGAAGATTTTTCATTATTTCTTGCCTGAAGATTTTTGCTTGAATTGTCCCTTGAAATCTGTGCTTGCTTTTATTAAGGTGGATTTCCTGTTTGTTTGTCTGAAGAAAATTTTGAAATCAATTTTTGATCGACTTCTACAGAACCGAGGTTTTTGAAACTTTACATGTACACTCATTTTTGATGATGGTATAATATTCCACAGCAATTTTTTAAAAACGCTACATAATTATTTTTTCCTTTAGCGTTGAATTATTTTTCTGAACCCTTGCTTAAAAATTAGGTTAATGATATTAAAATTACAATCTTTGCAGAACTGAAAAATAATAATATTTCAAATGGAATTTTTCAGCGTCTCAAATATAGCTTACAGAATGTTAGAGATTTCCCTAACATCGATCGATTTCTCTCTCTTTTATTATATGCCTTACATATTTAAATTCCTTCATCAGGAAATCTATTGTTTGTCTTGAAATGTTTCAGATTGTAAAACTGATCCTTTGCCCTATTTTAAAACACGAGTGATTAAAACTTAATGAATAGAAAGTGTTATACAATGTTTTAAATATATCACATTACGATTTAGCAGCACTGCAATATGTTTTGTTCTTTCGAAACAAGTAACATTCCTTGGCAATCTTACATTTTGAAATAGAGACGTCATGTACACTTTGTCGCTAAGCTGAATATAGGAAAACCCTTTCTATCTTTGAAGTTGAGAATTTATATTTTCATTAGTTTTTCCGTTTTATGGTCTAAAAATAAAAAAAATAAAATAGGAGGATCATATGAAAAGTAATGAAAATGGCCTTAACTGACTTGTGTATTAACACAGATTGTCCAAGCTCCATACGTTGTTGGAATGCACTTTCTCTGCACGAATTCTCGAATATAGTCTCCATATGAACCATCGTTGAACCCAACTTTCAGATCATTTTCGAATCATTTTCAGATTTGTACTATTTTAGCCACTCACTTAGAGTCTTTTTAGATGCTTTCTTTATATCAGCAAACGATTGTCGTCATAGATAGGCTTTTACTAGACAGAAAAAATAAAAATCCGAAAGAGCAAGTTCAGATTTGTACAATGAATGAGAGAACACTCTTCAACTCAATTTGCTGACTGCATGAGTTACTATCAAAGATGTATGAGAACTTGCATTTTATAGTGAAAATGTGGGTTGCGTTTAAGTTCTTCTTTTCAATGGCTTTTAGCTTTCCTCTTTAACATTTTTTGTCAAATGCCAAGGTTAATTTGCACAATTTTGTGATAATCCAAGTCTATCATCATCTTGAAAGAGTGTCTGAATTTATCACCTGCTGATCACAGTACGGCCATGTTCTCAAACTACAGTGTTCACTTAATCCCATAAAACAGTTACCATGTAGCGCTAAGCTAATGGCTGGGTTTTGACCAGTTTCAGTCTTGCAAAAGAGGGATAACGCCATTCTTTGGCTTATTCTTCGTTCCTATATCGTAAAGGCCTTCCCATATCTCGACTTTTGTCATAAAATTTAAAAAAGGGCATATTTATTGATTTAAAAAGTTTTTAATCGATCAGAGAAAATGCCATTCTTTTCTCCTTAATATCCCTTGTCAAATGCGGAAGTTAATTTGCACACATTTTGCTATAACCCATCTTTTGTATTGCGTTGTGATTACGATTCACTTGTGAAAAAAGTTTCTTATTCAAATCCATTGTAATTTGGAACATATCATTTGTATTGTAATTTGGAAAGTATATATACATATCATATATGATATATACATATATTATAAGACAATTTTAACTGAATATTTACAGTAAGTTAGATTTGCTATAGAAGTTTAATATCAAGACAGTTCTCTTTTGAACATTAGCACATCCATATTTTCAGTTTAGATTCCGCTATATAAAAAGGTGATTGGTTGATATGTCACATAGATATGATACAGGATATAATATAAGTTGTTTTAGTGCAAGTTGCAATTTTATCTTGAATAGAATACTTAAAATAGCTTATAAATTTAATAATGTAGAATATTTAAATATTGAAAATTATTTACAGTTATAATTTCTTTCTTCAGTGCGTCTTTCGGGTGTTTTCTTCTTCTTCTGGTGCTGGCTTCTACAAGAACGGAAGGCAGTGAAAGATCGAGGCAGAACATTCGAGGACCACCTCCATCATTAGTGGAATGGCTCATTTTTTTCTGGGTCACAGGTAAGCTACAGATTACATCTTACGCACAATCTGCATTCAGACAAAAATCATCTCTCCTAACAATGTTACAAAGAAGGATCCGTTTGGAATCGATATAACAAACGATCTAGTCATAAGGCAAAATCCAATTGCGCAGTTATTTGATGAAAATCGCTTATTGCATTTCAACTAATCTTTTTAGAATCCTGACCTCAGTCAGCAATAAAATTGTATGGGATATTTTAGAGCCCAGAATAGGGAGTTTGAAATTTAGTCCTTTTAATTTTTGTTACACAGAAAGGATAGCACTGAGGACAGGATAAGACTGTATTTCTATTTCTGCTTTGCAAAATCTTGTTAAACGTATGCCTTGTAGGCTTCTATGGCCGAAAAAGCGCTGACACCATAAACGTGGGACACAATAAACGAACATTTTTTATTCTCCGTTCTATATACCATTGACTTTTGATTATGTGATACAAATATGAGATATAGTGAATGTAGATTAGTAGCATCTAAGAAAGACTCCCCCCCCCAAAAAAAAAGAAAGAGTTAGAAGATAAGAACATAAGATACACGGACAACAATTGCATCATATGTCAGATATTGCGGAACGCGATGATGTTCTGTGGCGGATTTAAATTTCATAAAGTTGTTGAAAATAATATATGAATTGACATTCTAGATTACACCATGAAATTTTAAAGCCTATGAAATTTCAACTAATAATGTAGTAGTTGAAATCTGAAGCAACATGGAAAGTTCAAGAAATGAAGCTAGTTCCTCCAGGCTCCTGAGAAAAAATCCACTGAGAATGGTTAAGTCTAGGTATTTTTAAAATCCCGGTCACCAAACTCGAGGAAAAAAAAACAGGAGACACTTGACCTCCCTGTTTATTATCCCGAAGTAACTTGAATATCAAATGTGGCAGAGTGGCAAAACTTTTGCACACTTTCCCATCAAGAAACTGAGCAAATCAATTCATAAGATTGTATTTCTGAAGTAAGTGACTGTGTTGGTTAATAATTAAAGCAGTTATAAACAAATATAGTCACGTCTAAAAATTAAGAGCGTCATTGAACATGTATGAAGTTACACTGGTACAATTAAGTAATCAAAAGCTATTGTTTCTAAGAGGATTAAAAAGACTTTCCTGGAAGCTTCGCAGCAATGGAAACCGATAGTATTCATTTTAGTATGCGTAAATTTGTCATAGTTGAGAATCTGAAAGTTTATTGCTTTTTTTTTTTTCGCTGTGTACAGTATGGGTAAGGGCTAAAAGAGTAGCATTCATGTTAAAAGCAGTACAATACTGGTATTTTTCGTCTCCATCCTCTTGTATATGGCTCCATTTCCATTTTTGCTTCATTTTTACATCATACTTTCTTCATTCTTTATATCATTTTCTTCATACTTTCTTCATTCTGCGCTAGATTTCTCACCATTATATGAAATAGGTGTCCCACATGGACTTGAGGGTACATCTACAAACAATTCTTCAGTTCAATGTTTCGTTCAACTACAAACAATTCTTTAGTTCACCTTTTTTTTTTATTGTTATCTAACTATTCTTTATTTTCTACATGGCTGCTTGCTACGTGATACATTTCTTCAAAACAATATCCATTATGACAATGTAGAAAATTTTTACCCTCTCTCTGTGTATGTTTTATATTTCAATAATTTAAACTGCGTTTATATGCAGAAAATAGGCATACAACTATAACCCCGCAAAATAGGCATGCAACTATAATCTCGTAAGATAGGCATACAACTAATAATACTTAGCAAACTGCCTTATTCGCATTTTGAAATCTTAAAACTCAAAGAAATGTATAACAAACACGGTCCACCTAAGACAAATTGGGATCTTAAATACATCATTCTTTCAGAAGACTCCAATGTCCACTTTTTCTATTTTCGTGAAGAATAAAATGGAGGAACTATTGGAACGGAGTATTATAATTAGACTAGTATCAGCGCGCTGGTCTATAGATTTAATCGTGTGTGTAAAAATCGTAAAAATTAAACTGCTTAATTTCTGGAAGCAGACAGTAAATTTTTCTCTAAATAATTGCATTAAAAGTTACGGTTTAATTTACAATAAACATTTTTTTTCTGCAGGAATGGTGTGGGCTGAATGCAAGCAGCTGTGGGAAGAAGGCCTCAAAGCTTATGTCCGACAGTGGTGGAATTGGCTAGATTTTATCATGCTCTCGTTTTATTTGGCGACGTTCTCTTTAAAAGCTGTAGCCTTCTTCCAGATTCACAGCAATTTGTACGGAAGCAGAGTAATGGAAAGACACCGTTGGCCTGACAACGATCCAACGCTTATAGCTGAAGGAGTATTTGCAGTTGCAAATGTATTCAGTTTTGCCAGAATTATTTACTTGTTCCAAACCAACCCTCACCTGGGACCTCTACAGATCTCACTTGGGTGTATGATTATCGATATCGCGAAATTCCTCTTCATCTTCTTTCTAATCCTAACATCGTTTGCTTGTGGCTTGAACCAACTCTACTGGTATTCGGATTATGTTGAAGAAAGCTGTCAAATTAAAGGCGATAATGGTACTTCTGTATCAGGGAACTGCTACCAAAACAGCGAGCCATTCATGACGTAAGTTTCTTACTATTAATTCTATAAATATATTTGCTGACACCGTTTGTGGTTTTGGAGAGCATGTGTTGTTTCGCTAATAACACCTCAATATGGAAAGTTATGTTGCCAAGTGAGCAGAGTACATATTATGATATTCCATCTTTAACTGATCCATAAGTTAATTATTATTAATAATAAAATTTATGTAACACTTATGAACAAACCAGACTGACTATACCAGACTGGAGTTTTCTGTATTAAATAATAATTTTATTATTTGGAACCGATCTTATTTTTATAAATAATTTTATAAAGATATTAGAAATTTAATGCCTGCGTTTGTAATCAGTATATACAAAAATGCTCAAATGGGTGTAAGTAAATAGAAAGGAGGTATCTGACTATCGTAGTCTATATAATGGCAACAATTTTAAACTTATTATTTTCAGAAAAAATTAATTAAATTTTTTATATTAGTCTAAATTATACTGAATCATGTACAGGTCTAAAATAATTAAACAATTTTACAAGTTATTAGTTTTGTTCTGTATATTTGACTTTGCTTCGGTAACTTGCTACCTCACCTATAATAAAATTATAGGATAATCGATTACTTTTAAAACAAAACTCTTTATATACATTGCCCATAGCGAATTTCAAAACTTTGTAAAAGACCCTTGTATTTGTTTGTTTTAGCCCCATGTTAGGATTGCAAGGAAGCATGTGAGTGAGATTTTAAATTTATCAATGTTTCTTCTTCTTTTTAGAAAATGTAAAAGTATTAGCTGTGAAAAGTATGTGTTGATATTTTAGAGCTGTGGTGTCTTTGAATTGCAGTGGCTATTTTAAAAGAGAGAAGGCTTGTTATAGAAATCATTCATTCTCTCTTTTTAATGATAAAGAAGATTAATAGCATGCTCGGAGAAATGTTCCTGATGTTTAGTTTTTGAAAAATATAAATTATGAATGTTTGCAACTATGCTATTTTCTTTCCTACATGTTTGCTTTGGAATGTACTATTGCTTGGTTGTTGTAGTACTGTGTTCTGTATGTTATTGTAACTTTTCTGCTAGGAGAGATAATTATAATCTTATTAGAGATATGACTCTGCATATATTTATTTCTGGTATATTTCTGATGTATTAACAAGATATTGAAAATATTGAAATTTGATGCTTATATTGAACATTCATGGATATGTGAAAAGAATGAATGTGCTGTAACAAATGTTTCTTGCGCTGTCAGGACATGTAGAAAGAGCACAGATGAGGCTTAAAATTAGCGTTTGTCAACATGATAATAAGAAACATCTAATTTTATGCCTAATCTTATTACAATTTTAATCAGAGAACCATTATCATAATAATCGGATCCAACCATAATCATCAGATAGTTTATAACAGCAAAGCAAAGAAAAAAATTAACTCACTAGTTTGACTTTCCATTGATTTTAAACAAAGGGAATAATTAGAAATTAAATGAATGATTTTCGGTATTTTTTCAAATAATATTTTTAAATAATTTCTTTCACTAGCTATTTGTAAAGCAAATTTCTGTTAAGAAAGAAGAATGCGAATACATCAATAAAGCTAATTAATTTAATCTTGGCGTGGGAGACCGTCGGACCCGTCGCCTTTGGATGCTTTCCATCAAAACTGGGGCCGGAACTGAGCAAAGTCATACTGTCACCTGTATTGTACTCAAGGCTCTTGCCAACGACAGACGACACTCCTTGCCACGATGAATTTCATGGATTTTTTCTGATGTTACTGTCAGACAAGTGAGCTAAGTCATTGTATATTCAAATATTGCGATAAAATATAAGAGCCGAATACCGCAGCCGAAACTACAAGTTCGAGAACCGAAACGCAGTATACTACAAAAAATTCCATGGTTCATGCAATTATCATTAACTGTTCAATTTCTTTTTATAAAAATTAAATATTGAGTCTTGATTACTTGATAACTGAAACAGTACTTTTAATGTAAACGTTTCGCCATTCTGAGGACAAAAAGAACAAGGACTATTAGAATCAAAGTGAATTAGTAGTAAATTTTAATATTTTAACTATAGAAATTAAACCCAAATACTTCTGAGAATGAACCTTATTAATCAGAAAACGGAATTATCTTAAGAATACAATCCCTTTTGAATATTAAAAGTGCTTTAGACTTTATGGTCGATACAAAAATAAAGTATTTTTCCTCTGTGTTTCACATTTTATTTTTAATAATTATAAAAATTTCTAATAAGTTTTGCTGTTTGTTATCCTGTTTAAATGAATGAAATATCTGAAAGAAAACGAAGCACATATTTTTTTTTTTTGGGATGAATGTTAAGGTTATAAAGCTTTTAGTAATCTAACTGGGAAAGGTGCTCATTATATTCCACTAATATGAAGAATGTGGCGTTAAAGAAAACTTTCATAATTTATTTAAATATATCATCAAAAAGCAAACTTTCATAATTTATTTAAATATATCACCAAAAAGCAAACTTTCATAATTTATTTAAATATATCATCGAAAACAAACTTTCATAATTTATTTAAATATATCATCAAAAAGCAAGCTTTCATAATTTACTTAAATACATCATCATACTCTTCGATGTAAAATCCTTTTGAGCACTGGCACTTTCAAGTTTTTGAATCAAATCTTATCAGTCTTATTTTAGATCAAAAATTACAATAATGCTTAAATTTACTTTAAAAGTTTTCCCTAATTCAAGAATTTATTTTGTATTTTAACTACTTAATGTGCTATTAAAAGTATTATACCATTGTACTACAATTCATGTCGTAACGTATAAATTAGCATTTAAAAAACTATGTTGTAAGATTTTTGTCTTTCTGTGAAACATGAACGTCATCACTATTAATGTTATCCGTCTTTCAACGACATGTTTTGAAAATTGCTTCAATGTATATTTCTGTAAGGTGTTTACGCTAACTGGTACAAATCTTAATCTTGACTCCACTGTTATAGGCTATAACTTCTTGCATAGCAGAGTTCTTCTAATATTCTTCTTTACATTCAAAATGATTTTCCATTTTTGAAATATACGACTGAGAAATTTTACTACAGAATCTTGAAATCCCTCTGTTTCAATATTATTTTGCAGAAATGTTAAATTCTAATAAGATAAATTACCTATTTTGGATAGGACAAGGCGTGAAAACCATCTCAACGAATCTATTGCAAACAACAGTTATAATTTAAATTTAAGACACAAAGGAAAAAGTCATCTATTAAGTTAGCTGAATTATTTCTTAAATGAGTCTTTTAATTAAGGGCATTATTTTACTCCTGTAGACTTCGGGGAGCGTAATAAGCAGTATGATTCGTAATACTGAATAGATGTCAATGGGCATAGATCCACTTCAAGATAAAAAGAACTATATCTCCATCATGAATTAATGACGTGAACTTCGACCGAAAGGCATGTTCTCAAAAGTGATTATACCATTTATATCAAATCTGCTCTGAGCTAAAATAAAGCAAATGACAGGAAACAGATTGTGAATGAATCTTAACTTTTCAAATACAAATGATTTTAATAAATGGAACTGATACGAGTACTGACCTCTGAGTTTTATATAGTTGGTATGTGTTTTATTCGTATATATAATGGAAGCTAACAGTGAATTTTCTTTCTTATAATATAATTTCTTAACGAACAGGGCAACTGTCCATCATAAGAAGTCAACTACCTAAAAGAATTTTCCCTTCATTCTATTTAAAACTAAGCTCTTCCGATAATGACTCAAACCTTGCTTTAAACTGCACATAATTTATCAGGAAAATTTAATGAATACTAAACTACGGTATTCTTATCAGTAATATAGTATTACCTAATCCTCAAATATAAACAAATCAAATTCATACCTTCATATTTAAATTTTTCTTTTGAATAAATCTACTTTGAATAATTCTACCTTAATCTTTTTCCTTCGAGTATCAAAATGAGACCTAAATTATTCATAAATCCCTAATGAAATTTGTGAGAAGAATATCATTCTTTTTTAGTAAGTTATAATCCTCAATATTTTACATAAACAGGTACCACTACTAGAAGGCAGAAAAAAACATATTTCCTTTTTCACTTTGCTATAATTTTACGTATTTAATACAGTTTTCTAGTGGTGAATTCCTTCCATTGATGCATTTTATGTCATTTAAAAATCTGACTGCAGTTTAAAGCTACGTCTTAGCAAATTCCACATTTTGGTGTAGAATACTGGAAAAATAATGGTATGAATTTCTAGATGTAATGTAGTTATAAAAGAATTCCTAGCATTTTAAACTGATTGCTACAATTCTGTACCGTTTTACTATCAAGTTTCTACTGCAGATCCTACACTTCCTAAAGCAGTATGAACGTACTATTTGGGGGGGGGGAGCTTTTTATTTTGGCAAAATTAATACTCTTCTGAAACGGCCCTTACTCAAAGGAAGAAGAATTAATCTTGCTGAATATCACATTTCAATCACAACTTTGCCTTCAGTTTTATGAAAATTGAAGACATTTTGCAGTTACTTTAAGCCTTACATTTATATAATCTTTTTTTAAATTTACGACCTATATTTTAACACATATTTTCATTTAATTGAGCGATTTGTTTCATACTTTCTATAGAACTTCCTTTGATGGCGCAATAAAATCACCTCCATTTTATACAAATTATCAATGAATACAACCTCAGTCTTTCCCTTCTCATTTTTATGCGCACATTTGAAAACTTCAAAGTTAACTCAGCAGCAAATCACATGTGTTTGAAAAAAATCGACAAAATCATTTCCATTATATTAGTTGTTAACTGATTTATGTTGTACGGTGTGATTTGTTTAGAATTGATTCGAGCTACACATCGTTATTGTGGTCACTGTTCGGAGTTATACCTATCAAAGAAATTAGCAGCCGAAGAGATCAAGCCTTTACGAAATGGGTAGGCCATGCCTTGCTTGGAGCTTACATGATAATGGCCATGACAGTCATGATCAACATGCTCATCGCTATGATGTCACGGTCATTTCAAGACATAGAGGTAAGATATAGTTGAATTCGTTAGCTTAAATAACCCAACTTTATGATTACATAAGATGTAGTAAGTACCTTCCTTTTCTTCAATGAACACGATTTAAGATTAAGTTTTACTTTTTAAAAATGTCTCAGTGTGCATTCTCATAAATTCAATTAATGCATTCATATATTTTTGCTTTTAAATTAGTTCGAATACAGTTTAAACTAAGGTATTTTGATACCTTTCATAACGTTAGAGTACTTTTAAATAAAATTATTTTTAATTTTTAAAAATAATAATAATTATAAATCATAGAGATTTAGACCTTTTGATTAATGGTGAGATAATACCGATCTTGCATCATGTGACTACATTTATAGTATTCCAGCTGTGAAACTATATGGAATTTCTAAGTACCGGAATAAATCTGTTACTTTAACAGGGGAAGAAAGCCAAAAATAATTACGCAGCATTTTTAAAACAGAATGTAAAATTTATGAAATGCTCAAGGTAAGTATGGATTCATTTTAGTTTTTACTAATTATAGCTTTGATATAATTTACTACTTAACTTTAATTTGGCATTTATGTAAATTTATGGAGAAATATATCTTTGAACCAACCTTCAAAACTGTAAGAAATAACGAAAAGAAATTTAATTGATTTAATCGCGATTGCGATGTTAATACGTAATTTATTTAAAAGCATAAAAATTATCCAGAAGCTCCGTCAAATTAACCCTGTCGTCCTTCATTTTATTGTAACTATACTCTTGATAAAGTTTAAAATTCAGAAAAGAAAACTGCATTTAAATTATAGGGTTTTTTTATATTATATTTTGCAAAAAATATTAAACACTAAGCTTGAAAACATTTGAATATTTTAATCGTTATGATGTGTGTTAGAAACGAACTTTTATCTGGCCAAAATATTAAGATATTAATATAAGTGATACTTATGCTGTAAAATATAACTTTCTGTGTTGTTCTTTTGCTTATTAGTTAGCCAGTGTTATAGTGTGATCATCTTCAGGCCAACTAATCGTAATAAATGTACATATCAGTATAGCCTACGAAAGAAAAACGAGCTCGGAAGCTTTCTTTTTTTTATTTTTGGAAGGTATTAGGCTGAAATCCTCAAATCTCTTATTCATTGCACCAACCTTTCTCCGTCATTGAAATGACGTTCATCATAATTCTCTCTTGAAAAAAGTGTAGTTGCCTAGAAACAGTTGTGGACGACTTAATGCCGATATTTCAAAGGTAAGGGAAAACTACCTATGCTGAAAAATATCCATAGAAACCAATGCAAACTGAAACATATTCTGTTACAAAGTAATTTGAAAAAGTCTATTCTTTTGAACCAGTAATGCTGTATTTACGGAAATGCGCCAGATGCCACGCATAAAAATTGATTTTCATGCATATCAAGGAACGTTATATCGATTGAATTCGCTTTTCGTTGGACTACTAGCCTATTTATTGGCAGCTAAGAAATCTAAAAATGCGCAGAGAAGTTAAAGAAAGAAGTTAAAGAACTTTCAAAATTTAACCTGAAATGGAATTGTAATGCATTTGCATAGTTTGAAGCATGAATATTTTCTACTAATCCCAACAAAGCTGCCAGATGCTAACTATTGGCAGTAGTCATGAACCCTCTCAACTTATTCCTTATAAAATATTGTATGCTTATGAAAAGAAATTTAAGAGGAGTATTTTGTTTGATTTTATGCAATTCACATATACTAGCATGAATTCAAAGACTATGAGGCAATAACTTCACGTAGTCAACTAATTTTATCTGTTGGTTGGAAAATAAAATATAACTGTTTCTTACATATCCCGTTACTTGCCAAACAGGACACCTGGAAGCTATTTTCCGTTTCTTTGAGCGACATCTCACCTTTAGGGGCACGCTTTAAGAATCATTTTAGTTCTTTAGCTAGTGTAACCATGAATTAAAGAGTTTCTCAGCAAGTGACTTCTATGAAGTCATTCAGAAGCTTCACGAGCGTAATGAGAGATTTCTAGCATTAAGAAAAAGCTAAATAGATTTCAAATGTTGATTTTAACCCAGTCCTAAACCCTTACAGACGTACTTCGTGTTTGATTCTTATCATATAATCAAAATTCTGCAATGTTTTCATAATACATTTTATTTCGTTACGCCAAAAACCTTTCCTTAGCACCAGAGGAGTTATTAGCCTTAAATAAAAATTTTTGTCCGTATCACTTTTCAAATGTTGCTATCAAATGTTTAGTTTTTAAGAAATAACATAAAAACCTAAAACAGTATATGGCAACGCAAAATAAATGGATGTTATCTCTATGTATTACATTGCAAGAAATAGTAATATAGCAAATGTGTTGTATTGTTGACTCTTATCTGAAAAAAAAAAAATAAATAAACTTGCTTGACCTAATGAGAACAGGCCCAGGAACTTTATCTTTTCATGAAGCGCCAAGACTGTGTCTATCGTGAACCTAAGCCTGTTAATAGCAAATATGAAAAAAAAGAATGGCAACAATTAACACTTTATCATTAATTCTAGAGATATCCGATGCAAAATGTTTTTAACTCCCACTTGTCAGTTTGTTGCCATTTCGCGAAGTATACAAACTAAACGATTTAAAAGCAAAATAAAGGTTTTTAGTATCTTTTATAAATTACCAGTTGGAGCTGAAAAATTACACTAGCTAAATTTAAAGCATTGCATATTTTTTCTATTTTTAGTAACTGTTTTAGGCCGCTGGCCGTGTCAGCTGCTAGTTGTATGAAAAATGAAACGGATAACACAGGTAATTCGACGCAAAACTTAGGTTCGAGAATAACAGCCATTCTAGACAAAAAAAATGTGGGGCAACTCTTAACAATGTATCGCGAATTCTAAAGATATGCTTTCTTTTTCTTTAATTCTGTGATTTTTCTGTTCAATTTTATATAGCGTAAGTGCAAAGAAAATGGTGTTTAATACTTTCTTATTTAAAATGACAATAAAAAAGTTGTGTCAGCTGGAGTGAGTCCATGAACAGATAGAGAGGAAAGCTGCGAGTTCAACGAGAGAAGCATAAACATTTTACAAACACTATGGTGCGAAGTTAAATTCTGAATCTTTTCATATTTTCTTCCTTTATTTATTTATTTATCTTCTTATCGATATTTATTGTGATCTTACTCTCTTTCGTTTCTTAAATTAGATACCTATGACCTTTTTGCAATAATTATTAAATTTAGTAGTCGCCTCTAGGTGTTCTGCATTTCATTAGACAACTAATCTATTAACATGAACACAACATTAGCGACTTCTAGCCCACTGGGCGATAATCGTGCTTATAATAATGATAGTGCTTCTATAAATAGTAATTTCTCTAGCATTCTCAGTTTTTTTTAGGATTTCCATGTTGAAGAATACATATACATATGAATATATATATATAATTTATACATATACCTTTACAAACTGGAAAAAATCTGCTGTAAAATATCAGCAAGTTGCAGCTACTCGGAAAATGCTTACATAACTACCTTAGTTTCTTAATTATGAAAATGACCATGAAAACGATTTCCATCATTAAGGAAAATATCGGCACGTATTCGAGAAATTCGCGGTTCGATTCCCGGTTAGAGCATTGCTCATTTTTCAAGTCTGCTGCTTCCAAAAAATCCTATTGTCTCTACAGAGTGTCCAAAATATCGTCAATTATAGGAAGAGGATAGCAGGGTCTTTCTTTGTAACCTCGTTCAACTGGCTATAGTCAACACAACATCTAATTGAACTGAGTTTCTTTCTTACCAGGACGAAGGGCGAGGTCTAAGAACTTGCTGAAGGCTTGATAAATTCGCTTTCTTGCATGTTCACTAAAGGTTTTCCTACCTTTTCCCGCTTAACAAGCGGTAGACATCCTGGATGTTGGCTGATTGGTAGGTAATCCCCGGTATCAATTCTACGCTGTGTCAAACCTGATTCGACCTACTTCAGAGGACGAGCAGGAGACAGCATCTTGATATTCTTGAATGACACGTTTGGCAGCACTTCTCTCGTCATCACTGGTTCTTCCTGCAATTCTTGAAATTCTTCAATGACACGTTCGGCAGGACTCCTTTCTTCAGTATCAAACTGATTTGATCCATGTTAGAAGATGAGAGGAAGAAAACACATTGAAATTCTTATATGACACGTTTGTTAGCACTCTTCTTGTGCATTGTGCAAAACTCCGATATTGGGATCTCGGAAGACACGGATTTTGGAGGGTCATTGGTTTGTTTGACGCAGGTCACTGGAGTACATACTGCAATCACTTCACTTTTTGTAATGGCTTTCGCCTTATCAGTTACATTGGCAAATCTAACCGGGATAACGTTCCTCAGTAGGTCGACAAGTGCCCAAGCTACTAGTATGCCACGCGGTGTGTTACATTTCTAGGGATATTCCATTACATCATATTGAAAATTTCTGTTTTCGGCTATAGATCCAAGAAGTAAAAATTCTGCTCTTGCTGGTATTGTGTTATAGTCTTGAGCTATGATTTGGTGTACAGATTAACTCCTTCATCATTATTTCCGAACAAGTATATGTCCTCAAAGAAAGAATGCTGTTCATTTTTTTATATTCCAATGAAAAGCTTTATTTGCTTAAAAAGTCCAATCCGAGTATACAAGGATCTGTAATATCTGTCACATATGCCTTATGATGGTAGGGGGACTTCCAGTTGTGATGTTATTGTTTAACTCCTCATCGGTTTCTATTTTATCACCAGACACAGTTTCGGCGTTCGGATGAGTGTACCTTTCAGTTATTGAGCTAAATCTTTCCGGATGATGGTAACATTGGCTCAGTATCGATGGTAATGCAAGGAGGTTCCATGATGGAAAATCCATTATTGCCGCACTCATTTCAGAAACCTGAAGCGCTTTAAATTGGAGCTTCTCGTTACCTGGTAACCTCCACTAATGAGTTTTCACGAGATGACCACTAATGAGTTTCCCTCCTTCTTGCTGGGAGCGGTATTAGCTTCCATGCCTTGT